AAAAAAAAAAAGGCAGGTGCGGTGGCTCACACCTGTAATCCCAGCACTTTGGGAGGCCAAGGCAGGTGGATCATGAGGCCAGGAGTTCAAGACCAGCCTGGCCAATACAGTGATACCCCGACTCTACTAAAAATACAAAAATTAGCCAGGCATAGTGGCGCATACAGGTATCTGTAATCCCAGCTACCTGGGAGGCTGAGGCAGGAGAATCACTTGAACCCAGAAGGCGGAGGAGGTTGCAGTGAGCCGAGATCACACCACTGCACTCCAGCCTGGGTGACAGAGCAAAACTCAGTCTCGAAAAAAAAAAAAAAGAATGTGTACACCAGAGGGCCAGAGAGTCCCTACATCCTATTAAGATGATGCACATACAAGATTTTGCAGAGGCACCTACCCCACACTGAAGGAGAATTGGAAAGACCGGGGAAGGCTTCACTGACCACAAAACAAGTCACAACAGCAACAAACTGAGAAGAGAATGTTGGGTCTAACCCAGTGGTTCTCAACTGGGAGCAAGTTCTCTCAAGAAGAGACAGTAGGCGGTGTCTGGAGGCATTTTTCTGGAGGTCACTACTGGCACCTAGTGGGAAGAGGACAGGATCCCACATGTGCTACACATCCCACAATACACAGCACGGTCCCCCCACAAGAGAGAATGTTCTGGTCCCAAGTATCAACAGTGGGTTGAGAAACTCTGGTCCAATCCAAAATGTGCCTGGAGATCTGCCCATGAAAATTAGTCACCTTGAATGTTTCTCAGACATAACAATGTTACGATCCATTCCTGAAAATTACTGATTTATCTATTCTTGTGTGCAGCCTGTTCACACAAAGGAACTGAGTTAAGATTCATAGGAAAATGACATTAGTGATAAAATTAAAGACTGGGGGGAAAAAAAGAAAGAAAATTAAAAGAGAAAGGAGAGCCTTAGGGCTGAGGGCTTGAAGGCTGCAATCCCCTGTTTCCCACGGCAGCAGCAGGCCTGGCTGTGTCAGGAAAGCGCAGCCCTAAGTGTCTGACTCATTATGAAGTTGCATTTTGATGAGTGATGACGTGGCTTGCGGGTACGGACTTCACAATCAGTTAATTCTCAGTCACTCTCCCAGGTTCTCGGATGAAAGGCCTTGTCAGGTCAGTTATTCCAGGGAAGCTACATATGCCACGCAACACATGAAAGAGGTAATCTAGTCCTTTTAGATGGGCCAGGGCCCACAGACAGGAAGCAACTCAAGCGAGGGCGGACCAAGGCAGAGCCGGCCTGGCCCACCCAGGTCTCCTGCCCCAGCGCACACCTGCTATCTCCATCACACCTTGCTTCTCAGCTCAACACATCTTGGCGAGGGCCTTGCCTTCAGGAAACATGCCAGCCCATTCAAAGTCCAGCCACAAATGCTGCAGCTTTACTATGACAGAATAAAAGCTGCCTGAGTTTTACTTTATCAGGTCATTGGCACTTAGTAAAAATAATGCTTTATAAAATAATTAAAAACGCAGGCCGGGCGCAGTGGCTCACACCTGTAATCCCAGCACTTTGGGAAGCTGAGGCGTGCGGATGATGAGGTCAAGAGATCAAGACCATCCTGTTCAACATGGTGAAACCCTGTCTCTACTGAAAACAAAAATGAGCTGGGCATGGTGGCACGCGCCTGTAATCCCAACTACTTGGGAGGCTGAGGTAGGAGAATCGCTTCAACCCGGGAGGTAGAGGTTGCACTGAGCCAAGATGGTGCCACTGCACTCCAGCCTGGTGATAGAGTGAGACTCCGTGTCAAAAAAAAAAGAAAAAGAAACTCTGTCTAGTAGAAACAATGCAAATGTCCAATGAAATATGGCACACCCATACAATGGAGTTTTATACAGCCATGGAAACAAATGAAGTACTGCCACATACTACAACATGCATGAACTTTGAAAACATGATGCTGGGCTGGGCGCTGTGGCTCACGCCTGTAATCCCAGCACTTTGGGAGGCCGAGGCGATCGGATCACCAGGTCAAGAGATCAAGACCACCCTGACCAAAATGGTGAAACCTTGTCTC